CCCCCCCCCCCCCCCCCCCCCCTCAAGCTGGAGCATGCAAGTTCCGAGTGCCCAGCTTGGACAACAAATGAGTAAACGGGCCCTTCCCTAAGGCCTTGGTAAGAATATCAGCGAGCTGCTCGGCGGAAGCAAGGTGACGAGTTTAGAGAGCTCCACGTTGGATTTCATCGCGAATAAAGTGACAATCAATCTCAATGTGCTTTGTCCGCTCATGGAAAACAGAATTAGCGGCGATATGAAGAGCAGCTTGACTATCACAAAAGAGAGTTGCATGTGCTTGATGTCGTACGCCCAAGGAGACCAAGAGGTTGCGCAACCATTTTAATTCACATACGGTAGTGGCCATTGCGCGGTATTCCGCTTCAGCGGAGGAGCGAGACACCGTATTCTGTTTCTTCGTGCGCCAAGAAATGGGAGAGACCGTATTCTGTTTCATTGATTGAATATGTGGGAGTACATGTCTATATATACACAAGGATTCCTATTCCTGTACAAGGTAGGAGACAATAATAGGAAACAATATATTTACATTAAATATAGAATATATATTTAACATGCTCCCGGCTACGTCGGATGAGGAGGAGGTCTGATACCCAGACTGGACTTGAACTCGAGGAAGAGTAGTGAAGGTAGTCCTTTGGTGAAGATGTCAGCATATTGTGAAGAAGAGGGCACGTGAAGGACTCGGATGTGGCCGAGTGCTACTTTGTCTCGCACAAAGTGTATGTCGACTTCAACGTGCTTGGTGCGTTGGTGCTGAACCGGGTTCGATGAGAGATAGACGGCGCTGACGTTGTCGCAGAATACGAGGGTGGCGCGTCGTAGTGGTTGCTGGAGCTCAAGAAGAAGATTTCGGACCCAAGATGTCTCAACAACTACATTTGCCACAGCCCGATATTCTACCTCTGCACTGGAGCGGGAAGTGGTGGCCTGGCGTTTTGAAGACCATGAAATCAGGTTGTCGCCCAGAAAAATAAAGTACCCGGAAGTAGAACGTCTGGTGTCGGGACAACCAGCCCAATCAGCATCAGAATAAGCTTGGAGATAGTCTGTCGAGGAGCGAGTCAGGTAGATGTCGTGAGTGGCGGTGCCGCTGAGATAACGGAGAACTCGCTTCATGGCCGTGAGGTGAGAGTCGCGGGGCGCATGAAGGTGGAGGCAGAGCTGCTGAACGGCATAAGTGATATCAGGTCGGGTGAATGTGAGATACTGTAGAGCACCAACTATGGACCTGTAAAGAGAAGGATCTGGAAGTGCCGTGCCGGAGGAGGAAGAAAGCTTTGCCTTTGTGTCAACTGGAGTGGATATGGGGCGGCAGGAGACCATCCCTGCTCTCTCAAGGATGTCGTGAGTGAACTGTGTCTGATGAAGGAAGAGGCCCTGAGTAGTGCGATGAACATTAATGCCGAGGAAAAAGTGCAGATCACCCATGTCTGTCATGGCAAACTCAGCCTTGAGTTTCTGAATGAGACTCTGAAGAAGTCCTCGCGAGGAGGCAGTGAGGACGATATCATCAACATATAATAAGAGGTAGGCGGTCCCTGAGGCATGCGTGAAGATGGAAAGAGATGTGTCAGATTTGCAGCTGCAAAATCCAATAGTCTGAATGAAACCTGCAAATCTGTGATACCATGACCGGGGTGCCTGTTTCAGGCCATAAAGAGCTTTCTTGAGCCGGCAGACATGATGAGGGCGATTAGCATCCTGAAATCCTGAGGGCTGGCAGGCATACACAGTTTCCTGAAGCTGTCCATGGAGGAAGACATTTTTGACATCTAGCTGATGGATGTGCCACCCACGAGACAATGCGAGGCTAAGGATGATTCGGACCGTGGCAGGCTTGATGACGGGGCTGAAAGTTTCGCTGTAGTCAATGCCAAAACGCTGATTGAAGCCGCGGACCACCCATCGGGCCTTATACCTGAATAACTCACCAGACGTGCCAAATTTGTGTCTGAAGAGCCATTTACCAGTGATTATGTTTTGGTTGGGGGAGGGGGGTACTAGTTCCCATGTGTCATTCTTTAACAAAGCATTATATTTATCACACATAGCAGCATGCCAGTTTGGATCTTTCATAGCACTACGGTAAATTGGGGGTAAGGGGGAGATGGAGGTGGTGGCGTGGAGGTTTAAGATTTGTTTTGGGCAGAAAACACCGGCCTTGAAGCGGGTTTGCATGGGGTGGGCG